GCGGTAACGTCGAAAGACTCCATCGCGTACGCGTTATTAGGAGACGCGTTACGTAGACGTTCTAGGAACGGGAATTAATGATGCCCTCCATCGGTGACTCGGAGTACTAAGAACGAAATAGATCATGGGAGAATGGTGCAACTAGTAGAAAGATTATGTTACTGTGTGAAGAGATGCAGAATACTCTTTATATTTTATCTTATCCTGCCAGACAAGTCTGGTACCAATCTGCTGAGCCCGGAATAATGGAAGGCTCGGTGGGCCATTGGCGCGGGCATCGAAGTATTAGGAAACGTCGAGGTTAAATCAATGCTGAGAAGTCTGAACGAACGTCCGACCTTTTTTATTCAAAAGCCATACTGTTTCTTGTAGGGAACGGGTAGCACAGTGGTAGTGATATCCATCATCACGAGCATGGTTCTAGTTCAAGCCAACCAAGCTTCTCATCCCTCCGGGGTTGGGAGATTGGTACAGGACTTGTCTGAGACAAAAATGAAATCCAACTGGGAACGCTCCAGCTCGGCTATGTCAGGACTCCGGGGAGAATTGCTCGACCAGCATTCTACAACATTCAAGATGGAACGAAAATCCTCAAGCCGCAAGCGAAACCACACGTAAAGACTTGGAAGATCGTCGTGGACGACCTATGCGAGGGAGCGAATTGGATGTGAGAAGTGCCGCACAGTAGACGTGAAGACGGATCAAGTGAAATAAAAAAAATTGTTTCTTGTGGTTACTGAGGATCATAGGCGAACATCTCGTTTTTTCTACCATAGTGACAAGATTAAGCAAAGCGCGTGTAGTACAGTGTTTTGAGGTGCCCCACAATAACACATCATAGTTGGTTCGGTAGTTTGTCCGCAGGCAAAGCAAACTCTATCTCTGCTCAGTGAAGGCAAATCACCTCTACGGTGGTATTAATGCAGTCGAATACATGTTGGACTCCTCAGATATTGGTCTTAGCCGAACTGTTTAGGCTTTATTCTTCACACGAGGATCTCTAAGACTCAGAAATCGTCGTCATATCCGAGCACTTCATTACACACTTTTAAAATTGTCTCTTATCAACTTGGGCGTCATATATCTCTTCGGAGGATATTTAGAAAAAAATCTATTGTTCTATAGGAAATGGAATTTGAAATAAAACTACAAAAAATGGCTCACTATACCTACTAATATGAATTATTAGCATATTTCAGATAACAATTTACTGGATTTACACAGCAAAGCTGCTGTTGATCATGTACAAAGTAAGGTTGTGAATGCATTAAAAGACCACTGTAGTACCTCACAACCGAATAAGTTGGCACGAATTGTAGAGCAGGTATGATAAGTATGCGTATTGATTTATGGGATTTGTGCTAAAGATCATTTCTGGGCTTCGTTAGGTGTACGCATTCGATGTGTTCCATATCCTGGGTGCAGAGATGATTGAATGCTGTCTTGCTCATCATATCAGCCTTCCCCCAAATCTCATCCATGTCACTGAGGTTCGTAATATTCTCTTTTTCCTTAAAAAAATCGTCACGAATTAAATGGCTGGGAGAAAATCGATAACGATCAATTCAATTTCAGGTTCCACGAGCACCATTGAGGAGCGCTGACACTGTTCAACCACAACCGTGGCTTCATCAGAGTAGTTCGCATATGGCACCACTCACTCACGCCTATTAGGCACCGCTAATAGATAATCGATAATCCGTGTTATCCACCGAACAGACATCCTTGACTTCTTTTGTTTGGTGTCTCCTTTTTTCCACTTCCTATTGCTTTACTGCATATTCTGTAGTGCTAAAATTACTTTCTATTTATCCCTAATAATAACAACAACAACAGCCAGTTACAGTACTTGCGAGCCATATCCCAGGTATACGGTAGCATTCCCACGTCGTCACTTCCGACCTCGAAAACTGCCGAACTCATATTTTTGACTAAAAATAGAGATTACAGACGAACCAATTCGATAGGAATGCTACGGTTTCATGTTGCTGGTATACCTCTCAGGTTAGGCACCCAATACTCGTAGAAAAAGCTAAGCAACAACCGCTCATCGCAGTATCGAATTTGTGTGCACGATTGTAGCCCATACACTTGATAGGTATTGACTGTTTATGAAGTAATGGCGGTAATTGCACTTCCGATATATTGTCATCTTCAAGCAAATTCAAGCTCGCTACTGCAATATCACCTTAGTTCCTATGATTATTGCCCTTTCTTGTATGTTCGATGCTGCTTCAGTAATTTTTCACTGTTATTACAATCAAGTTTTTATTCCTTCATGTTCATCCATCGCCTACAATACTTCCACTGGAAACCAAACCCATTTTTTTTTCGTGTTGTCACCGTCTACGCTGCTTTCATTTCATTTAATAGCTTTAAAATGTTGATTTGTTGAACTTTGTGGCCCAGAGTTACTAATAGTACACTCCAGCCCTCTACTTAAGCTCCATTAAGACTTACTACTTAGCAATTGCCTCTCAAAACCTAAGTTTCTATCAAGATCTTAAAGCGAACTCTCAACTAGTTACGCTTAATCTCAAAGTTTCTTCGTAGCAACTGGTCTACAACCAGTTGGTATGCTGTTATAGGGTTGTTTAATATAGGCATACTCATCCCCCTTACCAACTACCAGGATCGTATTACACATATCAAGCTATTTCCCTCCGGTTTTTTGTAACAGGTGACCCAATTTCCTATACAAATCGTTTGAGCTACGTGTTCTTGCCAGCTATATCTTCACATTTTTCAATACAAAATACAATGTACGATGTTCTTCTCGACGTGTACCATTCGTATGCACCAGACTTGTATCTTTCATAGAATTCTGAATAAAGAAAACTACTGGTGAACTATATAACCGTACAACAAGAACAACAACAACAACAAAGCTACGAACGGTGAACAGACAATACTAGATTGTAATGGAAGAGATCGTCATGTAGCATGAAATGAAACGAAACTCCTAGCTAGGTATTCAATCATATAACCCACGAAAATGAGCTTTCGATGCTTCATTAACAACAGAAGTAACTAAATCAAAAACCTATTTTCAGTTGGCAAATCATGCTGTGATCAATATGAACTATTCCTGCCTCAACAACTACGGTAAACTAGTACTGAGTGCCAATATATCGTAAGCAAATCGGAGAACCGAGCGATCGAGAAATGAGTACGATCGAATAAGGCAGCCGCCGAGTCCAAACAAAGCTAATGAAATAATCCATCAAAGTGACATCTTAAAGGGGTTGGGTACCACCCACTTACAGGCAACGTACGGATGCCAAGCAGCCAAAAACTGCGTGGCAACGTATGCACTGTCCAGTAAAAAAGCTAAAGAACCCTATCTCTACAGTTCCAGGTTTCGAAGGTTAGAATAATAATCTACAGAATTAAGGTAGATGAGTCTGTAGTCGATTAGATTCGGGAAACATACATTTTCACATAGTGATGCGTTTTCAGCTATCACCCTGTTCCATTGCTTCTTGGTGTGTAGTAGTAGTTCCTCCCTGAACGTCATATGCCTGACGCTTCAACATATTCAAATCGTTGCGTACCATCATCTCGAAATCGTCGGATTTGAGATTACCAAATTTCTGAAACAGACCAGCTAAAAGGATAAAAAATGAATGTAAAAAGTTGAGGAAACATCCACGTCAAATTCTATTTCCGGAGCAGGCATCTGTTTCAGCTTCGACTTTATTGAATCACGGCATGTCTGGAAAGACTTATATGATACACGATAAATTTCCATAATGGGCCGATATGACCTCTATAAAGGTCATATTCTCTACAGTGGTTTATTTTGGTGCACAAAATTTTTTTTCCTAAATTTCTGGTAATTAATTGGTAGCTTATCCAACAAAGATATTGTAGCTCCCATCTTCATGTAAAGCTATTCTCTACACTTTATAAATTAGAATAAACCGTAACAAGCTATCATGTAATCAGTACAATGGCACAGGATTTAACTCATCATAGACTTCTATAGTCATTGAATTTTAGCCATTGTGCCTCACAAATACTTACCTGTAGAGTCGCCCTAAAATCTTGATTAGCCTTTGCTGAGATGTTTTTGTCATCTTCATCAAAAACAGTTAACGCCTTTCCAATGACAGAGTGAGTGAAAACTGTTAGTCGCTCTTCCCACGGTTGTTTCTCGAAATATTCTGATATCTAAAGTATTCCACAAATAAGCAAAACATTGTAGAAAAATATAACCGGTGGTCTAAAGTATCATTAACACTCAGGTGAGCATGCAATGTTGAAATCAAAATACCACTTGGTCCAGAGAGGCTGCATCTATAATGCCCAACGGATCCTCTTCTATGCAGAAAGCTCCCTTGTTTTTCTTCTTTTCAGTTACCTTAACTATATTCCTTGACTAAACGAATTTCTGCGCACGTAACTAATATTAATATACTGCAAAACCTTTATGCTTTTCTGAAGGAAGGCGTATTTCCGATGCTGATTGCGAACAATGAGGAAGGATTTCAATGGTTCCATGTAAAACTCCGTAGAACAGTAACTCAACATCGGAAATTATCAGTCCTGATAGAACGATAAACAGGATAAAGCTGTCGGCGTTGATCAATCCCTGAGGGATGCGCCATGCATTCGACTTCATTAAGCATCGTTTGAAGATGATTTAATGCATATCTGGGCTTTACAATGACTCGTGGTAGTCTACCGATGTATCGAGCCACAGTAGCAATCCTCCCACAGAAGTCTGGTACCAATTCGCCAACCCCGGAGAGATGCAGGGCTTGATGGGTCTGGGAAGTGGCGATCGATCTCATGCGCATTACAGGGAGTCTCCGACTACAGCGCAACACGCTTCCTATTTCTGATAAATTAGGGATAAATGCCTGTGGCTGAGCTGCTGGACGCCTTGGAAAGACCCTGTAGAGATTTCAAAAGGACCAACATTCCCAGTCACCAAAATGTCAGCCTGTTTGAAATTGTACTAGGGTGCAACGCGTCGAAAATAAGGAACAAGGAAGTCACATATTACGAGCAGTAGACATCTGCGATATCGAAAAGATGTTTAGAGAAAACCAAATATCACCAACCTTCCTTACCACTACTACTTCTGCAGCATTTGCAACACGGTCCTCAAACCTCATGCCTAATTTACGGCCATTGATAGGCTGGAAACTCAGCATGAATTCTTATTAAGAAAAAAAAAAACGCGCTCAGTCATTACTTGCAAACCAGCCCACGGTCCAGCGTATATCACCTTTAACCGCAGGAGAGGAAGTTTCGGTTGCTGTGGCCCTCGCTTACTCTCTGCTTCACGTATCATCTCTTCAATTTTGTCGTTAATGATCATTTCGTCCTAAAAGAACATCACTACTGAAACTTGTAGATCAGTCATTACAGCTCCCGAAAAGAAAACCTCTAACGTACTAATACAAATCCGCCTCCTGATGGTCGCAAACCATTGGCAGGAAGCCTTACACCTTCCGGTAGACAGTCAAGAATAACTTCATCAACAATCATTGGGCGAGTAGTCTGCAGTGGAATTGGTTTACATTGAAATTTTCGTCCTTTTACCTGAAAGCATTTAAGTATACCCTAGGCTTATCACTCCTGAAAGTGTTATAAGGGCAATTTTGTTTTAAATATAGATCAACGACATAAATAATTACCAACGATTGAACTGTATATTGTTCATCATGATTTAACACGACGACTAAAACACTGCGATATACACACATTTTTGTTAGCAAACACAACCATGACTAAGTGCTTCTTTCTTAATACGACACTGCAACCACCAAAAAGAAGGACGCTATATTTCAATATTACTTTGATAAGGAATGCTATACCCACTTAGTTGCATATTTGAATGGCACGTCCTCACTTTTTGTGCGGGTGCCAACATAGTTTCCATTTTTTCGGAGTTTTGTAGAAATAAATAGTAAAGTACAAGTTACGTTTCATACGATGTGGTTCTCGGACTAAGTAATGCATAAAAATCCACCTTAATAAGAAAAACATTTTTCTGCAAAGCTTCCTCCTTCGTTAACGATGTAGCTATTGTCGAACCCGGTTGAAGAACGTAAAACCCATCGCCTTTAGCATCAGATGATGCAACATACTGGCAATCTGAACTGAGGGAAATAACGTATCTGTCTGCTTAGCAAAGATCCACCTCTGTCGTTTTTCTCCGTAGTGTTTGATAGCAAACCCAACTTACGTGGTTTGCATTCATGTTCATGTCCCCATATCACAAGATCAAAAAACGTAGGAATATATTGTTCGGGAAGATAGGCACCAGTTGATCGATGAGTGGACCTTAAAATAATAACGGTTTAAAACTGTTTCAACTTGTGAGAAAATTTTCTCGTTCTCCAAAAAATTTTTGAAAAATCTTCATTACGGATTAAATATGAAGCATTCGTAAGTAAAATAACGAGTTATAACAATGTTATAAATACAACAACCTATACCAAGCCCATAGACAAACCTTACTGGACGATTTTGGTGGAGTACTAGGATATTGAACCAGTCGTCATAGCCTGCTCGTGGACGAAGGAATCGTATAGTATGGCCTGCAGAACACGTACTTCTACAAGCCTCTTTTATGTCAACTTTTCATTCGCTGCCAGTTAGAATTTTTCACGGAGGGATATTATGTGAAGTACAACCATAATGGTGCTGAGATATTTGCAAAACTCCGGACCGCAGGTGTCTATGGTGGAGAGCGGACACGCTATTATACTTTCCAGGGGTTAACGTGTTCACCACCACACCATGTGGGTCCCTCGTTTTGCCTACCCCTCAGCCAGTTTTGACCGCTTTATTGAAAAAACTGCACGTTCATACGTAAAAACGGAAACTTTGGACCTGCAAACGCTCTACAGAGGCGATCATCTCTTTGACTACCGATTCCGAAGAGAGCCACTCGAGTTGAACCCTTCCGCAGGAGAATAGGGCTGACCTAGTAATGTCAGACGTTATCAAATCGAATACAACTTCTAACGATATTACTCACATCGAATTGATCGATATTAGAAAATTTGCCGAACAGATTGATTAACCCAGCTTCGTGTAAAACGTCGAGTATCGTTAATCCCTATAACATCACACTACATAAAACACGTATTGGTTTTAGTCAGAGAATTCCGCTACTTGTGAATCTTTGGAACTAGTTTCTGACCTTTCCAGCAGTATCATCGTGATTCCCATGAATTGTGAAAATAGGCAGACCAACGTTTATGTTAGCATCCTAGAACAGAACTATGGCATCAAATACCAAAACCAGTGGGAAATAACCGAATTCGGCCGAGTTAGTTGCTGACTCATTGAGTTAGCCTCAGACTTCTTCAGAAAAGTTCCTACACTCGTGTTGTACGTCTATTACCACGTTGAATAGAAGATGTTAGTAATTTTCATCTGTGATAATCGAAAGAAAAGATGTGTGCGTGTGCGCAGTGGTCGGAGGCGCTCTGCAATACACATGGAATCGATCCACGCGCCCATGGCCCACTAAGCCTTCCATCAATCCGGGGTCGGCAAATTGGTGCCAGACTTGTCTCGGATAGCAGCACTGGCTCGATACACCGGGAGGACCCGCGAGCCATTGTATAGACCAGATATGCATTCAATCACCTCTAACGATGGCTAATAAAGCCAAATGCATGGCGCATCCCTCAGGGACCGATCAACGCCGAGAGCTTTTATCCTTTATAATGGGAAGAGATCTAAAGTTTTTCTAAAAATACGACCTTCTTTACAAAATCAAGCCATGTAGCGTCTACTAAGAAAAGATTCTGATCATGAAATGCATTGCTTATCGTTCTAAAGGATGATATCCTGCGTTACTGTAATCTGTAACAATGCTGAGCAAAACGTTTAGACTCAGCGTTACAGGTTAAGCTTTCTCAAATATAAACTTTTCATGGAATGAGATCTCTGCCAATTCAAAAAACGGCAAATTTCATTGAACGCTTTCAAAACTACGCTTTATTAAACTTTTTATTTATTGCCTACTACAATTTTTTAAGACAGGGTATTATGTGAAATTCAACTATAACGATACTGAGATATCTGCATAACTCCAGACCGTAGATGTCTACGGTGGGGAACGAACGCGCTATTATCTTTTTCGGGGCCTAACACATTCACCATCATACCATCCAGATCCTTCGTTTTTCCTAGCAATATTCGTTTTTTGCCAATATCATTCATAGTCGATAGTTCGTGTTTAACAATATGAATAAAAAGACGTGGATGATACATTTGAGATCCTTTCAACCGAAAGCTGATCGATAACTAACCTCATAATTCACTCGGTCGAAGCGGCTATGGTCAAAATTAATGGAAGCGTCAGATAAGAACTCCAGATTGACCTGAAGGTAAAATCATACAAGATTGACAAATGGAGTAATGATACTCCAAGTGTAAAAGAACACCTCACCTCGTTATCGCTCAAACAATATTGACGAAGAAGTTGAATGACTCGATGCTGCATGTCCCGGGAAGGGTTATTCTCATGAAATAAATCGCCACCTTAAGTGTTTCCATAGCTTTAAACAAGACCTAAAGGGTAGTGGCGAAAAACAAAGAATTCGAGAAGTTCATCTGGACAATTCCCATTGCACTTCGCATTTAAAAAACAATAAAGCAATATAGATGGAAAAGCTTACAAGCAAAAGCAATCAACGAACCTAGGAGTACCATGTCCACCTTCTTTTCTACAGCTATTTTTAGCACCTCTTCAAAACTGTTGATAGAGTCGAGATACCTAAAGAGGTAAAAGATAATCAGTACTTTATTCGAAAGAGGATAAGGATTAAGCTATCGGCGTTGATCAATCCTTGAGGAATGCGCCATGCATTCGACTTCATTCGTAGCATCGTTAGAGGTGATTGAGTTCATATCTGGCCCGTGCAATAGTAATTTGTTCGATATGATTCGAGATGCCTTACGGATGTGCCGGTTCAGTACTGCTATCCTCCCAGATAACTATAGTACCAATTTATCGACCTCGAATAGATGTAGGGCTTGGTAGGCCTGGGGCGCAAGGATCGATCCAATGTGTATTTGCCGAGCGCCTTCTACCAGTTCGTTACACGCGCTTTTCATTCTATTTGTTCAAAATATGAACTACCACACGAAATCTTGATATAAACTCACAAATTCGATTTGTTTTCACCATATCCAACATGTATATCACTGGCAACGAGGATTCGTAGAATATCCTCGTTCCCAACAGATGTCCTCTCAATCTTCTCAAGAAGAGTATCATTTGAACGAGCTACCCTCTCTGGTTGGTCTCTTTCTTCTCGTTCTTCTTCTTCCAGATCTTCTGCCTCTTCAGCTTCTTCTTCGGCAAGAAATATATCATCATACAGGTCCTAAAACTTTTCCTGGAAGACACTCAACAGTGTTACAAAGCAAACCACATTATAAACAAAAGTTCATGCTTACCGTTGCCATATTCGCCTAATACACTAGGAAGTAGTTAACATCTAATACGATGTATTTGCATATCCCAGTACTAGTACTTGCAGCGGCTCTCTGGTTTCAAGAGTAGTACTGTATGATTTGAAAATAGTCGTAGCTGTTTTACGGAAAACACTTTGAAATACGTTGTAAAATAATGGCTACGCACCTGAATATGCTTTAACTTTGGGATCTTACATTTGTGGCAAATTACTTCATTGTCGTTGAGGAAAGTTGGACGTACGTGGTTTTAACGTGAACAGAATGGATATTCGTGCAGAAAATTATTGAATGATTAGTTAATTCATTTATTTACAATTTGATTGTGAATTTTTCAAAAGTACAAGATGTGAAATTTCCATAAGTGGAAAATATTATCTTCCTAGGTCTATGCAACCACTTGAGTGTGTGTAGCTTTCTCTTAACTGTTGCTTTCTGTATTACTTACGTCTGGCAATCAATACTATTAAGAGTTTGATGAATCGTTTCGGCTTTTCCTTATTTGATTTCTTAAATGTTAGTGGTTGTGTAAGTTTAATCATTAACAGATGAGAATGGATGACGCCACGAAATCTCGTTTAAAAGCGATTCCTCTCTGTAGAACGAAGGCCGGACCACGTGATGGAGATTTGTGGATAGAACGATTGAAGGTCGCTGGGATTCAAATCGATTTGTATTGTTTTAACTGTGTAGACATATTTGGATCACCAGATTGTCCATTGTTTGCAGGAAGAGTACCAGTCCATCATCAAATTTGTTCAAAATAATAAGGATTCTGATTCGGATTGGTTTCGTCTGGAGTCGAACGCTGACGGAACGAAGTGGTTCGGAAAATGTTGGCATTATCATAACATGGTTAAGTAGGTGTTCTTTTTTCTTTCGTAATGACTTTCTTTCTAATGATATGGTGTTTCCAATGATGTGAACCTCCCAGTGGCGCGTGTGGCGCGGTGGTCGAAGGCGCTCTGCAACACACACACATGGGATCGACCTTGGAGCCCGAGGCTCACCAAGCCTTCCATCTCTCCGGTGTTGGCAAATTAGTACCAGATTTGTCTGAGAGGATGGCAGCACTGGCTCGATACCACAATAAGCCAGTTATGCATTCAATCACCTCCAGTGATGCTTAATGAAGTCGGATCATGGTGCATCCCTCGGGAATTGATCAACACCCAGAACTTTGTTCTTTTTTATCCTTTTACGCGCTTTCCAACGGTTTACCGCTTCATTGTGGCTGGAAGTTGTTCCTAGGTGTTAGGCTGCGACGTGCAGGAAACCCAGCCGAGAGCAAACCAATATCAGGATCCACTACTGTCCTGGTACCAAAGTAGTCGCATGGTGGCAAATCTTCCTGTGATCCACGGGGACGACACCGGCCTGTGGTGGTGAACTGAGGCAAACTTTGGCCACGGTGACCTCGGGACTCCAGAGAACCACGAACTGGCAAACTCCAAAAAATGGAAATTATGCTGGGGCTTACACAACCAGTGAAGACGTGCCGTCCGTCCAAGTATCCAAGCAAGATGTAGAGTACAGTACCAGTACTACGGTTAGTCTCTTTCAGATTTTTGTAACTGTTAAGAACCGTGGAGATCTGTGGGGCATTGTACCGTGAAAACCACAGCTCGAGGCGGACCATCGTATTGAATTTAAGTTCTTCTTCAAAGACTACTAAGTGATAGCCGTGAACAGAAACTGTGAAGTGTTCTTTTGATTTTAAAACGCTTTTTAAACACTCGAAAACCAGCAATTTTATGTGAATCACGAGGAATTGGGTGTTTTAAATGAGGTATCAGGATCGAAATTTGGAGCCATCTACCATCTATATGCTATTTGTTTTCACTTAGAATTACACTTCACTTGGTCAATTAATCACTTTCTATTAGTTCAAGTGTTTAAGTTTTGTTATCGCAAAACCTTTTTCATTTTAAACATAGGCTTCGATTTTACATACCTAAGTTCGCAGTAAGCAGTAAAACATCAGTCCATTCTGTTCAAATGTACCCTCTAGAAAATTGGAATTTTAAGGTTTCTAAATCTATGAGTCGTCTCCAATCATTTTTATCCGTAGCATGATTGTTGAAGACTTTTTAATCCTAGTAGAAGTCGAGGTACTTGGAAAAACTGTATAATCTGGCGGCAAGTAAATGGGAGTCATCGTAAAATAGGGCCTGGCACTTTTGAGGGGTGATTTTTGTCACAGACGCATAAATCGTTAACGTATTTCGTCTATTTATTGGTAGTACTTCGGTTTTGCTATGATTCAAAAGGGTTACAGCTGTACGATTACGTCTGCTGCTGAACACCACGCTTTCACCATCGTCTTCTTTTGATGCTCTTCTGGAGTTTCTTTATCATTGTCAAAATCTATTCAAATTTACTTTCCATTTTCGATTGCAACATGTAAATTGGGCACACCTCTCAACGGTTTACCGCCTCATCGTGACTGGGATGTGTTCCTGGGTGTCGGGCTGCGATATACAGCGGAGTGATTCATCCCACCCGGTCTCCAAAGCTGAGGACAATCCCGACGTTTCTATCAAGAAACCCAACTAAAAGTAAACCAATACCAGAATCCACCACGGTTTTGCTATCAAATTAGTCGCATGGTCGCAAATCTCCCTCTCAATCTCAATCAATCCACAAGGTCGTTGATTACCTGTTGTGGTGACGATCTGTGGCAGACTTTGGCTAAGCTAACCTCGGGTCTAATGAGCCATAGTAGCTTAACCAGCAAAACTCCGAAAAAATGGAAATTACATTGGGGTCCGCACATCTAGTGAAGACCGCCGTCCAAGTGTTCAAGTAAATTGGACACAAAGTAGTGTAGAAACAGGAACGATGACATATGGAGTGCAGTCTGGGCTCGAAAATGGTATGCAGTATGAACGCAGAAGGGTAACGAGCGTGACTTTTGCGGCAGTCGAATGTTTAATACTCAGAGTAAGAGTTAATCTGGAAGAAATGTATTAGTGATAGTTTTTCAGTAATCGTCGGTACTTTTCGTATCTACGGTGAACTCGACAATAAACATCCTAATTACAGATACGAATTCGATGTGGAGTTTGACATTCCTGTTACCTATCCAGTTACTGCACCCGAGATTGCCTTACCCGAATTGGATGGTAAAACTGCAAAGGTTTATTTTTGCTTTGGCTTGGTTTTTCGATTTGTATTTTTTACACTTAGATTCATCGCAGTTAAGCAGTTAACTTTTATTTTGTATGTGTATAAGAACAAAGCGTTGACCAGTTGTATAGGGGTATCTCATTCTTTACTTGCAGACGAGACTCTTTTTACTGTGCGTAGACTGCTCCTCAAAAGCGTTATTTTGAAATTATGGGTCTGTAAACACGCATGGTAGACTTTTATTGATAGAATGGAATGTCCTCGATAGTAGCAAGACTAAATTTGTCAGTCTGACAAGAAATAACTGCGTCATATCGTTAACTATATCTCTTGTCTATCGTATTCGATATGAGGACAATCCGCATTTTTAAAAGGATCAACTACGAAGGATCAGGTTACGAACTTAACCACAGGGTTACAAAAGTTGCACAAGCATGGCGTGATTACGAGGTCCTCGCACTTGCATGTTCTTGAAATCTCTACATAGAAGAGGTAATAGAATTTTTGGACATCTATGCATCGTTTCCTAATATAGAAACGTTCCGTTTAGGTGTATAGTGATTTAACAACCAGGGTGTCGTCATGCTTTCTACACGTTGTTGGTAAAATTCTGTTGAGAACACCAGGCATACCAAGTAGGTAGACGGTGTAAATGCTTGTTGGAATCAGTCTGATATGATGAGTAATAAATTCATCTGAAGCGAAAAAGTGGGATATCTTTAAATTACTGTTTTCTTGATGAGCGCATAGATCTTAACAAAATATTTATTTCACACTGGCTAACCTTCCAGTGGATTTCATCCTCATTGGCATCAGTAAAACGGTGGCTTATTGATTAATTACAAGATTAATAGGAAGTCGGTCCTCGGAATTTTTAAGTTAGCATGACCAATTTTAATTCCAGAGCAACGGAAGCCTTCAAGGAGACTCATGTGAACATTTAGGGAGTAATGATGAAGATCATAATAACTCCATTCATATATAGCTTTCATTGGTCTACCGAATGAAAAGCTGAAGCTTTCCTTGCGTAGAGGCGATATTTGTTTCAGAGAGAGAGAGAGTAGAGTGCACGGATTTAAGCTTTTCTATAGTATACGCCGTGTTCGTTTTGTCGTCCGTGGCTCTGAACCATTATCCATGCAAATGGTTTCCATGAAAATGATTCCGCGATTTGACTAAATCAATATGTTGCGTGATCCACTCTCTATTGATCACCTAGGAACAAAAGAAAGACATGAACATATTAAAATACAGAGTGTGAGCCAGTCTGGTGCAGAGCGTGTGTCGATCCATTTTCCGAAATCTATCTGCATCGTGATTGTTGGAAAGAAAAAGAGGAACTGAGATTGAAAGTATCCGATTATTTACCACTACTATTATTATTGTTAATTATTAGTGCTACCGCAGTTAGAGCGCGTGTAGCGCAGTGGTCGGAGGGGTCATCCAATACACATGTGATCGATGGCGGCGCTCTAGGCCACTAAGCTCTCCACCCCTGCGGAATCGCCAAACGTACCAAACTTGTCTGAGAGGAGAGCACTGATTCGATATGTTGGTAGGCCAGCGTAAGTCATTGTGCAAGCCACATATGCATTGAGTCATCTTCAACGATGCTTTGTGAAACAGAGCGCATGGCTCATCCTTCAGGAATGGATCAGATCCGAGGGCTTTATTCTTTTTATAGTGATATATCCCCAATTTCATCGTCGATCTCTTTGTTATGTCTAAATCTACAGTTTATTATGTACAGTCGTCTGAATTTCTGCATTTGTAAAAGTCCTCATTTCTTTACATTCGTATTTTTATTCCAGATGTACCGAGGTGGTAAAATTTGCCTATCGGACCACTTCAAGCCGTTGTGGGCAAGAAACGTACCAAAATTCGGTATCGCGCATGCATTCTCTCTAGGATTGGGACCATGGTTAGCAGTCGAGATTCCGGAGTTAGTAGAAAAAGGATCGATCGCTCCGAAGGCCTAGATATTGGTGTGTTTTCATGGTTTTCGATTTCATATCACATAAAATCCGACAAGGGATTTTCACTGAGTGTCTAATTATGTAGCATTTTCTGGTACATTTTTTTTCTTCAGTGGAACGAATATTACAATGCTGACAGCTGTCAACAACTGACAACCGCGGTCATTCCTTTGAACAAGATTTATAGCATTTTCATGGTCGTCTGTGTGTGAAGACCCTAGTTAAGTTAGTAGAGAATCGTGGTAGAATTCTAGATTTTTGTACGATTTTTCGATTTTTTCTTATGGTGGTAGCCTTAAGGAATCTTAAGGCACCTGTTTTTGTTGTATACAGTATTATCACTACTGGGGAAATCACAGAGAAATTCCGTAGAGATGTTAATAGTATGCAAATATGTTTCGTTTCTCGGCGTGATGGGAATGTGGAATATTAATGTTATGCATGTTATGGAAGGCAAACCGTCCACAAAAAGCGTAACTGGGCGGTAACTATACCGGTGTTCATCTTTTATGTTAGTAATGTTTTTTTATGCTTCTTTATCTATTTATTTAAGTTCCCTTTCCTCTTCCACTGTGTATGTTTTCCTCACATTCTTCTTTAAGTTATATGGGGTTATTTCACTTTCTTTTGTGAAGAGTGCTTGGTTACGTTGAGAATTTGTTTTATAATTGATATATTCGCATTTTTACTCGTTATTTAAAATATTCGCTGGGAATACAGTTGGTATGATGTTGCAGTTAATGGCTTGATAGCAAAAGCCCATACCATAAATGTCTACTTTACTGTGTAGCAATTGAAGTTGTTACTCGATTTACTACATAAATTTGATGAAGTACGTCTAGACGTTCTTCCCACGGTTAACCGCCTCATGGTAGCTGGGAGGTGTCCTGTGTTTTGGGCTGCGATGTACAGCGGGGAGATTCGTTCCCTCGACAGGGTCTCCCAAGCTGAAAAAGAGTCCGGTGTTTTCATCAGGAAGCCTATCTAAGGGAAAACCAATACTAGGATCTACCACCGTCTTGGTATGAAATTAGTCGCGTGGTAGCGATTCTCCCTGTCACCCACAAAGACGGTTACTGCCTGTGTTGGTGACGACCTGGTGTATACTTTGGCCAGACTAACCTCGGGACTCCAGGTAACCACAGTGGCTTAACCAGCAAAACTCCAAAAAAGACGGAAATTATGCTGTGGTCCGCACAATCAGGGAATACGGGCCATCCAAGTATCTCTGGACGTCGAGGCAAGTGTAGTGCGACGGTCGAAGGCGCTCTGCAATACACATGGGATTGATTCCCGCACCCCAGGTTCGCCAGGTATTTCATCCCTCCTAGGTTGGCAAACTGGTACCAGACTTGTCTGACCAGACATGCATTCATTCACCTATAATGATGTTTAGTGAGGTTGACTGCATGGCGCGCCCTCAGGATTGATCAACTCCGAGGGCTTTGTCTTTTTTTTGTCTCTAAGCGCCACCCCTCGACTACCACCTTGGAGCCCAGACGACGAAAATGTTGAGCAAAGATTTAAATTGGTTTAAACGTAGTATTGCGAAAGAGTTGAGGGGGAGGGTGTTAGAGGTGGGAGACCTACCCGATCGATGCTTAGTGTTCTCCTTGTGTAGGTGTGTACTGGAAACTGTCCACATTTTAGCTTACTACTTAGCAATTTTAGAAATATCCTTAGAAATGTTCTGTTATGCAGCATGGCTGCCCGTTTTATTTTGAAAAGTGCTTAAGTCTGGACGTAGTCTTGCCTTTGTTTCATTCCTTCATGCTAATTTTTACAACCATTTCGTATCTTACGGCCTCTAGGTACTTTAGGACAATAAGCACAGTGAGTTATTGATTGGTCTGTTTGCATTACTTTAGCAGTAACGGGTTCAGTCATCTGCCCATAACAGATGGACACAATGTACATTTCTCTTTGGATTGATTTTTTAAAGCCATTAGCATTCACGTTTTACTTTTTTACCACCGATTTTAAGCTTTTTTCATGATTTTCTGTGGAGCCTTTATTGTGTTACTCGATAAGAGATCGATTTTTAACGCATTCGTGACGATGGTGGTTTTTCTACCAGTGGAGTACTTGATGACGTAGTCAACTGGGAGGTTTGTCCAAGACTTCTGCGTGCTACTCCAACGATATATACGTATATATATAAAATATACATGCATATATATACATAACCATAATTATGCTGAGATAATTGCAAAACTCCGGACGGCAGGTGTCTGTGGTGCGGAACGAACAAGCTATTACCGTTTCCGCGTGCCAACAACACCACGCGGGTGATTTCTTTCCCCTGTCTCTCAGCTGGTTTCTATCTATCACTGCCATCGGCAATATACGATCTTACTCTGTTTTATTTTATACGATCCAACATATCGTGCAAAGTATTTTTTCTCACCACTTCTTTCCATTCTGTTCGCTTCATTGCATCCATCGTTTGCGAAGGCTTTTGGCTTTTGGCTTTGGCTTTTGCATGTGGATCCGACTATTGCTAGAAGATTTTTGGTCTTATGAATGTCGTTGAATGCTGATCGAATCGATTCTTTCTGGGATCTAGGAATAGTTATGATAAGATGTTCGGAAATCCTCTCCACCATCAGCCTTGGTGGATTGGAAGGAGCAAGTTGATACCGGGCGAACCAGTCTGATGCAAATCCTCGGCTCTGGAAGGATGATGAGCTTGATTGGCCCGGAAGCAGGTTCAAACTAAGGCATTCCAGCTTTTGAGATCGCTCTTTATACTCTTCATACTACTCTTTATACTATTTTCTGGATAACTTCGAACTAGAAAAGATGCAACCGAGTGCGTTGAATGTATTTGTAGTATGGTAGTGATTTCAAAGTTCTGGGCCATTGCTTCAACAAAAATGCAGTTGACGTTGTGCCATCGAAGACGTTGTATTGCTGGAAGCAATATTAAAAACAGGATAATGCTCTCGACGTTGATTAATCCCTGAGGGACGCGCCGTGCATTCAACTTCACCAAACATCGTTATAGGTTATTGAGTGCATATTTGGCTCTTATAAAGACTCGCGGTGGTCTACTGATGTATCCAGTCAGTGCTGCTATTCTTCCAGACAACTACCGTATCAATTTGCTGACCCCGGAAGGTTGGAAGGCTTGCTGAGCTTGGGTCGCGGTGTTCGATTCCATGTGTATTGCACGTATTTCACGGCGCCTCCTACCACTGCACTACACGCGCTACAAGGCAATATGAATGCCGCAGTCTTCACTTGTATTGTTCTATTGCCATTTAATCATCGAATTGAACCGAACTCCTTCCTCCCTCCCTCGTTCCTTTACTTGTGAACTTTCAAATCATCTAATTGTATGCTTTTAGACCAAATCTATGTGAGGAGATACAGTCTCTGCAAACATAAACATGTGGAGATTTACACGAATATGATTACATGTATAAAGAAGCCGAAAGTCACTTCAGCTCACTGAAGAAAAGCATTCTGTTTAATGAATCTATCTGTATCTCCAGTGAAGTACTTGATCGCTCTCAGTTGCAGTAACAGAGTGTACTACTGTGCTCGGTCCAGACTGTTAGACGATTCATTTCATTCCGCAGCTGGAAAATGTACGAGATCCGCTATATGACTCTACAATGTTTGAAGGGATCTACTTCAATGCGACTGGGCAAGCGGCTGCTTGCAAGTCCGTCACAATGGAGAAGGTCAGAAAGCGCGTGCTGATCACCTTCGTAAGCTGGAGGTTATATAGACAATATTCCAAAGAATACGGAACAACGTGTTTCACAGTGCTTTCAGTTGTGCTTAGTCTCCAATCCTATCCGCCACTTTTGGACGCCCCCGCATAGCCTAGTGGATAACCGGCTCGAAATCCTTCACATGAACGATAGATGTGGACAAAGAGTGTTGTAGATGTTTGTCATCCTGGTGTTTTTAATATCATAGACTAGTTGGGTAAATAGAAACTGGACAAGTAGGTGCTACACTAATTTTTTTTGACCCTCGTTTAGAAAAAACTTGTAAGAGACGTCTTTAGTTTACTATTCGCTCATGAGCTAAATTTTTCTTACTATACGAACCGTTTCTCACATCTACTACTTGGATTCCAGTACCTCTCACATTCGATTCGTTTCCTCGCACCCATTGTCCATGAAGATCTTCCAACTATTGCGTGTGGCTTCGGCTGCTGCTTGAGGATTTTCCTGTCATCTTGAACGTCCTAGAATGGTGGTCGAGTCGATTAACCCTGGAGTCTTGAGACAGTCGGGCTGGAGCGTTCCCACTTGGATTGCAGAGTGTGATTTTTTTTCCGGACAAGTTCGGTAACGATTTCGCGACCACGGAGGAATGAAAGGCTTCGTGGCCTCCGAGCGGGATCAAAACAGCACCGAGCTTGTGATGGTCTGCATCACCATCACTGTGCTCATACCACTGTCCATCCTCTGTATTAATCTGAAAAATGATGATAAGAAAAAAGATTTAAATGGAATAAACGAGTTTGCTGATGCTAAAACATTCACAGCGGCGGATTTTTTCCAACTCGTATCTGCTGGAAAATAGTTAAACCTTTCATAAACCAACAAACGGATCTCAGCTCGTAGCGGATTTTATTACTTGAAATAAATATTGTTAGAATCTAAACATCTTTTCCAGTAAAGTGAACTTTTCATTCTACATGAATGGAACCCTTAATTTTTGATGCTTTTGAAAAGTGCTTTTTCTGCTTTCATTGGTGAGGGTCGATTCTCTAGTGGCTCTCAATTTGTTACTGTTTTTTGCCCCTTAAGTCCTTGTTTTTGTTTTTTAAATGTTTAAAACAGGAGCAACTTCTTATTCAAATCTCTTTATCCTCGAAGCCATCAATCAAAAAATGCTTTAGTTGCCGAAAAATTGCAGACAATTGTTGAAGAACCGGCCTCGTCCGGATTCATTAAATACAACCTTTCATGATGTGCAGATCCAGTTTGTCTTACATTTTCACTGAAAGGAATCCATTATTAAGAAATACTGATATTTAT